CCCCCCCTCCCCCCTCCCCTCTCTCCCTTCTGTAAGGGGGATCGATTTTAGATGCCACTGTCCAACTGACCGGCTCCAGGTTATTCAGAAGTAGTTGATTGCATTCATCTGGTTCGATCTAAATTCGAATTCAGGTCTGTATTTTTGTTTTGGTGGATGACGATAAGCAAATGAACAGAGCTGGGTACCAATGCGCAGCCAACTCGGGATTTTGAGCACTTCCGATCACTTCCTTTCCTCAATTGTAGATGACGACAAGAAAGCGAACACACTTTGGCCATCACGGGTGTGTGTGCTTGTGCGTATGGGTTGTTGTGTGGTGCGAGAGTGCTGGCCATGGGTGCTGCTGTTATTCCGTGGGGGTGGGGGACGTAGATGGGAGGTGCAGTTACTGGCGAAGTGCTCGGTGTTTGCGTCAGCCCCCCCCCTCTCCCCCTCTCTACCCCTCTGGCACCGGCGGGCCCAGACTACTTCCTGACCACAGCCGATTAGGGCCGATGTCGACATGCATCCCCTTCATTGTGCGGGGTAGCTATGCTTGCAGGTGTCCCCTGTATAGGCTTGGGAGTAGTGGCAGCTAAGTAGTGAAAGGTGAAAGGGAAGAAAGAATATAGTTTAGTTGAAAGGGAGAGAAGAATATAGTTTAACTGTAAGGGCTGGCATCTCTTCCTCTTGCCCATATCGTTTCTTCTGTGGTTCTGGCATATTGGTGTTGTTGAGACGCTGGAAACGTTTTCGAGCAGGTTCCATTATGAAGTCCCGTTTTTTTTTGTTTTTTTTTCCCCCGCACGTGCTGGGAGCCGGGCCCAGCGTCCCATATGAATTTGTTTGTATAGAAAAGTTTAAGATACTGAGGCCGTTACCCAGCATCGGCTGAGAAGAACAGATTGTAAGAACATCTATTGACCGCTGATCCCAACACCTGAAGCTGTCCTACTCTCTGCCAGGCTCTTCCAGGCCTCGCACCCGCAGCGTTTTGGGTTACATGGCAACATGACTTGGCACTCGGCCCAGCTCCAACCAGCGTCGTCCTGACAGCAACCTCCAGCTGTCCCTTAGGATGCCCACCGCAAAGCATCCTCATATGTCTCTACCAGGCCTCACGCCCCCGTTTGCAACAGGTTACAGGGCAACACCCCAGCTACGACCACCGTCGTTCTGGCATTGGACAGCGACAAATCCCTGAGTATACCATCATCAGTACTACTACTGATAACACCGCTAGAAATCCGCACAACCTTAAGGAGTCAGTAGAGCTAATGGAGATAGCAACCATACTCCTGAAACGGCAAACCACGTCAGTCCTAGTCCTTCAAAATACCCCCCCCCCCCCCCCCCCCCAAAAAACCCCCCCCCCCCCCCCCCCGGGGGCCCCCCCAAAAAAAAAAAAAAAAAAAACTCTACAACCCCAGGGATTCCTAACAAAACTCTCTAGGACCCTCCAACACCATTTTACTGAAACCAGTTCCCATAATTTATTTAGAGCGGACTTGAAAAGGTTGGCTACATGTGTGCAAGACTTGCTCTGAGTTCCTTTTGCTTGCTTGTCATGGTTGGTGATGATCTCGTCTCGTATTTGAGATTGCCAGAGTGAGATCAACAAATCGAAATGAGGTTATTGCATACATTCCGGCAGAAGGCCATAATTTACAAGAGCACTCTATTGTTATGGTTCGAGGAGGTAGAGTCGCAAGATTTGCCTGCTGTAAAAACAAATACCGTTGTATTCGAGGAGTGAAAGACTTGCAAGGAATTCCTAATCGACGTCGAGGCAGATCGAAATATGGTACCAATGGCAGGGATGTGCTGATGGAGGCTGGAAACGCTTTTTCTGGTGGCCTACAATGCAATATGTCATTACCAGGAGTGATGTGTGTGGCTTGTTTTTTTAAAGATGTTTACTGCGCCGTCTGATGTTGTGGCGCGGACTTCCTGACTCCGAAGTCTTCGGCCCGTTTTTTTTATGACGAGTTTGTGCTTATTGGATTCTGCGTGGATGTGATGCGGCCCGCAGCAGCAGACATTTGATTTGGTTGTGATTGTTGCCTGCAGAAAATTATGAAGAGATGGAGGAAGCACTGAAGACACCCTATATCAACTTCGAAAGGCAACCGTGGGCTAAAGTCTCGCAGACTGCAAAGAAACTGATCAGGAAGATGTTGGAACCTGATCCTGCGCTGCGTTGCACTGCAGATCAAGTACTAGGTGGGTGTTGTATTCGCATTTTTGTATGCTTTCCTTGCCTGTGTTCGTCTTTTTGTAAACATTCGAAGTTGTGTGTTGTTTGTTATCTTGGTCAGCTCAGTTCTCCTCATGCTCTCTTTCGATTTTGAGTATGCAAGCTCCTCTTTCGCTGAAGTTGCAGATGGGTCTTGTCTTGTGCTCGTATTTCCATATACTTTTCTAACCTGTGTTCATCGTATTTGATAGGTCTTAGGTACTTTCACTGCAAAAGATGCAAAAAAAGCAATCCATAGCAATATTTGGCGTCGTTCGCTAAATTCTGTTGTTAATAAGATTTGTAAAGTCGTCTGTTGTTCGTAATCCTGGTTAACCACAATTTTCTTGCGTTATTTCGATTCCGGGTAAACAGGTCAACATTGCTACTTTGCCTCACTTCTGCTTGTTGTGGATTGTATGTATCGTTGCGTATGCCCAAGACTAAGAGGTACGGTTGCGCTGATGGCAGTAGGCGCCTGAGGGTTAACCCAATGCTCTTCCATGACCATGGTAGGCTGTACGCCGTCCCACACGCCGTCGCGTCCCCACTCCCTGCAAGGGCTAATGAAGATGTAGTGTCCGCAAAAAGAGTTTAGTACTCTACGACGCTCTTGCTCGACTTCACGTGGGGTGAATGGTATTGACCCGACAGGAGGAAGGTCTGTTCGGTAGTCTCTTCTGTGATTCATTTAGTACTGTGGACGGTCGGGCTTTTTGTAGGTGCTGTTTGTTTAATTAAGAGGTGGATATTGTTGTGAAACGGCTTTGTAAAATTTTATGACAGCTGTTTATTTTCCACGTCTTTATGTGCACAACAGGTCACCAAATGACAAATGTGCACGTGTCGTGTCATTGTGTGCAGAACATCCGTGGTTTTCAGAAGCCCTTACACCTGCCCCTGGCGTTGGTATTGCTCTGCCGAAGAGGGCGAGGCCATACTGTATGATGTCGGAACTGAAGAAGAAAGCTCTAAAGGTGGGTATACTTCATTTCGTGGTGTAGTTTTTTGTTTTCCATCTGTGTACATGTTGTTTGGATGATGGGGGTTCACGTCACTGCACACATAAAATGAACTCCGGCCTGTGGTGACGGAAAATGATGGCCAGCTTACTTATATGAGGATGTACAATGCGCGGGTTGTGCATCCACGTGCGCAGAGGGCCGCCCTTCCTTTCCTGACTGCTTGTGCAATGCGCATGTAGGCTGTCGTATGTCCATTTGGAGGGCAGGGACTCTGATGTATGCATGATCTTCTGTGTTTTAGGTTCTTCCCCATCGTTCTGACTTGTGACATCTGTGCTGTTCGGAGTGAGTGTGTGGTTGGTATGGTTGATGCCACTCGTTGTGGCAACATTTGTGACGAGAATGCTCAGCTAGGTCTTTGCTGTCGTCACCGATCGCATCCTTACCATTAATGCCGACTTTGCTTGTCAGCAACAGACTGACTCTTACCTTTATTCCACACTCCTTACTCTCCCTTTGTCTTCCTTCCTTTGCTCCGTCTTTCCTCTCTGTTTCTACAGTGTGCAAGTGGGCCATATGATGGGTTGTATGGGGGCTTAGGCAAGTCGTCGATGTTGAGAGCCTTAAACACGAGAGGAGATATGGAATTATTGAAAGGCGCTCAGAAAGAAAAATAAAAGAGAAACAATGAAAAAAATGGCGAAATAAAAAGGAAGAGAATACAAAGAGCTGTACAGAACGGTTTCATTGGTCCTCGTGCTCTCTGATCTTTCTTCGTTTCTTTCGAACGTGTGCTCTTCAGTATACAATATATATATTCTATAGAATATATATATTGTATAGAATATATATATTGATATGTGACAACATGTGGGCTTGAAGGGTTTGTTTGGTTTCTCTGAGGGGGTCTCGTGACGATTCGCACAGCTAATCTTGACCGACGTAACCTTGCATGTCACAGGTCATTGCAGAGAAGATAACTGAGGAAGACCTCCGCAGCCTGGGTGATGTGCTGCATGTCATGGATGCGGACAATGATGGCCTGATCACTTTTGACGAGTTGAAGGAAGGGTTCAAGAATATTGATGTTGAGATTTCTGAGACGGCAGTTCGAGAATTGCTCGAAGCGGTGAGCAGAACATCGAGAAACTTGTGCTTAGTTCGGTTGATGGTTTGCCGGAAAGAACTGTATGCTATATGTGTGCACACTATCTTTTGCTCCACTCTCACCAAATGTGCAAAATGAGAATGAACCTTCTTCTAGAACACGGCTAGAAACACTGCCATATCTTTTGCTCTTGCTCTTTTTCTTTTTTGGAAATTTTCTATTCGAATTTCGTCACGTAGTGGACCGAGGCCCACATCCTTGTGCAGGGGCCGTGGTGCCTTGATTTGGCCTGGCTTAGCAAATGCGCAAAATGAGAAGGAATCTTCGCTAGAACATGGAAAGATACGCCTCCATATTTTTATCTTCTGTGCGTGTGGTGAGTAGCCGAGCGAGGCCCACATACTTTTCCCAGAGGTTGTGGTTCCCCTTTTCGCCTGGCTCGATTACTCGTCGAATGTGCAAAATGAGAATCAATCTTCCGCTTCAACATAGGAACGCACACCTTTTCTTTTTCTTCCCTGCCATATTTCTCTGTCGTCTATGCGTTTGGCGACTAATGGACCTCGGCCCTCATCCTTGCCCAGCAACCGCGCCGCCCATGTCCGGGTATGGCAGGCTTTTGCGCTCAGGTTTGCCTTGCCCCTTGTCGTTTACCGCCTGCATGAAATTGCCACCTTTGTCATTTCATGTTATCCCCGCCTCTGAGCCGCGGCTTAGCTGCGGCGGGTCTGGCTTGTCGCTAGAAGACTCGTACTTTCCTGACGCTGAAGCACCTAGCCTAAGAGTTCAGGGCCCACCGATAGCGGAAGGGAACCAAAATGTGCATTGTTTTTGATGCATGAATTGTTTTTGGCACCCGTCGTGTCTAATTATTTTCTAATACCTGTCCGAAAAATACCAGGACTTGGTATGTGGTCCTCGTTGTTTTGGACATTTTGGTGAAAAAAAATGGACGTGAACAATTGCCACACGATTGTTGCCGCACTCACCTCGATACAGCCTTTGGTCCGAGGTCTCCATGCAGCCAAAAATGGCAGGCCATGTGGAGCGACATCGGACAATGTGGTATACACAAACGCCCACCGGGTCAAGTACAGGAAGACACACGGACACATCCATGCTTTCGGACAGATGGCGTGCCACAGTGGCCAAAAGATTACGACCCTCCCCTCTCCCCCGCCCTCCCTCCGTCTCCCACCAGCCAGTAGGTTGACCCATATCCGTGCTGGAACCTTTGGGGATCGGGGGCAGTGGTGGTTTGGAAGTGGAATGACAGGGAAGGGGACTGGAATATCATTTAGGATCGGTGCAGAAGGGGATCGGTGCGGAAGGGGGTCTGTTGGGGGTGAACTTATCGGGATGAATAACAGGTTGATTATGTTTGATGGTGCTCTGGCATCTCACCTGTGTGCGATGTCCGGTGCGCTTGGTGCCTCTTGTGTGTGTGGTCTCTGCAATGGACTGGTATGTATGCGTTTGTTGCTTGAAGTACCGTGCAGGGCAGAGCAAGTGTGGACGCGGTTCTCTCGGAAACAAATTATTATGAGTTTTGAGGATTCTTTGGCAGAATTCGGTGTTTGCCCTGTTTACTGGTGGTGGCCGGATCAGATCGTTTCCTCTGTCCTTTTTGAGACATCCTCTCTGCGGTGAAGGTCATGTGAAGAGGCCGATGGATTGGGTAGACGACTGCAGTGGAGACGGGACCACTTGAATGTTTATGGCATGTCATTGTAGTCGATGGTGAATATGAAAAATTGAATGGAGGAGGCCAATCAGTGAGGCGAATCATAAAACTGCCGCAAGAGCAAAATGGGCCCGACTTGGCTGAAAACTGGTGGTGGCAGCGTCCAACAAGTGAGTGCTGCTACTGAACGATTGGGTCGGGTTTCTGTTCTGTGAATTTTCGGCTGGCAGGTGCCAGCTTGAGAGAAAGCGATCTGAAATGTGAAACCTCACTGCCCTCTTCTGGCTATTGACGACTTGGAAAATAGCTGACCAAACACCAGTAGTACTGTTGGAGGCTCACAAGCCCGCTTCCTACCGTCTTCACCCGAATAGAATGCCCGGTCATTATAGCCGTATCTGGACTGCGAATTGCACCAAATATGGCTAAAACGATAGGTCGTTCTATTCGGGTGAAGATGATAGTGCTGGTTGTCGGTGTTACTTTTCTGTAGGCCTGTATGGACTAACACGAACTCGATGAGAAAATCGGTGACGGAACAGGCGTGGGAGAAGCGGAAGTGCCTGAAAGTGTGACTTTCTGGTTTCATCATTCTGAACCGTGGGAAACTTGCTTGTGGTCTTCTGGACGTTGGGTGCATGTGCTTTTCCAGGCTGATGCAGAAGGAAAGGGTGGGATCAACTACAAGGAGTTTGTTGCTGCCACCATGGATCTGCATGCGATCGAGGGCGGAAAGTATTTACAAGATGCATTCAAGCAGCTGGAGTGGGAAGAGAGTGGATTCATCAATATCATGGAGATGGAGGAGGTCATGAATAGTTGCAGCGAGGAAAGCTTTCTGGAGCACACCTTAGAGGAATCTGAAAAAAGCAAGGCACAGCAGCTTGATGCCAAAGTACGAGTCTTCTAACGATGTTTTTTATAGCGCGTGCTCTCCTTGTTGTGCCCTTGTGTTGCCTTTCTCTTCTCTGTGAGTGGTTTCGAAGATGTATGCTGCCAAGGCGGCTCTATATTCGTAATTGCGATCTGAGAGTTTAGTTCAGCAAGCTAGATTTGGAAGAGATGGCGCCACTTTTGTTCGACTTTTGGAGCCCTCTCCGTACGTAGCCCACACCAAGCCACAACCGAATGCATCACAGTTTTTGTTCACTGAACGCGTCTGTCAATGTTTCTGTGTGTTTTGTTTTAGGATTACACACATGGCACTCATGTTTTCATGTCTCACGTAAGGTCTTAGGCTTTACGGATTTTTGGTAGATGAACCGAGTAGAATGTTAGACACGAGAGATGTGTAGCAATCCAGAAGAGTAAACCGGAGTGCTTGTGGAGAAAGGAAGGAGGGAGAGGCAGAAAGACAGTCGTGCGTCTCTAGTTAACGGAAAACAATATCGTGCGGCTCTAGTTATAACGGAAAACAATAACAAATCTACCTGATTTCTGTGATGTAACTGTAAATCCGAAAAACCGCGGGTGATTGGATCAGAGCAGGATGCTGACTTGTGTCTTGGATAATAGCCATGGCAGTATACGATTTGTTTCACGAAGACAGGGAAACCTTGAATAGGCATGTTTGGGCGATGTTACGAGCCCCTAGCAGGCCCAGTATGGATCACTTAGAATCCGCCGGTCACGAGTATCGCCTTTTTGTTGTGGTTGCCTTTGGGTTGTTGGTATCGAAATTGCTGTGCGAATAATCTTGAGGAATTCTCGTACTGATTTGCAGAATGAAAGGAGACTTCCTTCCTTCGAATCCCATTTGTTTTTTTCTTTTCCTTCTCCTTTTTTGTAAAATGAAAGCTATGGTGGATTGTGTGCAAGCTTTCCAGGTAGGCGTCCTATTGTTCTTCACACCGCAGATACAGTTCTTTAGAGGACGGGCGCAATTGCCCTCAGGAAAGGGGGGAAAAAAGCATAAGAATGGTGCTTGTGTTGCCAACTGTGATGGCAGCCCAGCAAAAGATCAACGGCGTCGCTGTGCGCTGGGATGGGCAATGTGAGTTGTTGTGTTGGGCTTTGTGCTATAGATTAGTTGTCTTTCCATGGTGGTACCTTGATTCCTCGTTATATCCTCGGCTCGCCTCCTAAAGCCCACACCACTGACAATTCCATCTTGTGGATCCCTCAGATCAATCGTCCGGCGTGGTGTTCCGTCTGTGTGTTGAATCGTCCGCATGTTGAAAGTGCATTTCGGTTGAGTGTCTTTTCCCGAGCTTCATTTTTTGAGGTATCCTTGGCCGAATGGCTCTTTGGGACGCCCAGGTTGCTTGAACGACGATCTCGTATTTGCTGTCCAGCATGATGGCTGATGATATGATGATGTGAGCCAATTCTGTGCCACGGACGTTGTCCGAACTTGTTCCAATTTCAGTATAACTCTGTGTCTGTACTATTTGCATCTTGGAGTTCTCTAGCTGACATGAGCAGTGGCCGAGGAGTCGACTGTCCGAGCGGTTCTTTTGTCAATGCCTAACGCAATTCAACTGGTCTTTCTGGATGTTCCTGCAGCAGAATTTTTTTTTTGCTAGGATGCCCTGTCATTGCAACAACAATGGCAGCTGATCGCTGGAGCTGTTTGCCTCCCTCTTTTTCCCAAGTCCTTAACACGCTTCTGGAAGATGGCTAATTAATGCTCACGGCGTTTTTTGTGTTGGCTCGCTCCCTCTCTACACAGTTGCCTTGGCTGTATCTTTGCCAATCTTCGCTTCGCGGCTACTCCTCCCCCGCCGGGTAGGAAAGAATCAACCTTTGAATTAGCGCTTTGTGGGCTGCTGAATCCTTCATAACTACGCATTTGTTGGGTAGTGAATTCATGATCTTGCGGTTTGTGGGGTTGTGCATTCTCTTTATGCACTATTTTTTAGTAGTAAATCCCTTATTCTGATTGCTCATAAAGCGTCCCTCTCGCGAGTGCTCCGTACGTACTAGGTGGTTCGATGGTCCTCCTTTCCTGTTCTTTTTTTCTCAATCCTGATGGCATTTCGAGCTATCGAAGAAGACACAAATCTTGTGTGCATGATTTTGTGGGGACTTTCGTCTCCTTATCGTGATTGGTGATAAAGGGTCCCCCCTCATTTGTCTGGCTAGCTGCCCACCATATTTATCAGCTACATTGTCCTGATTCCCATACGCAGTCCTGCTTCTCTGTGTCCGTCTTCTTTCAACTCATTTGATGGCAGCATGAGCTTGCTGAAGCGGCCTGTATCCACGACTTTGGGGGGACTGCGGTCGACTTTGGTTCCTGTGTTGGCACTCGTTACTCTCCGATTTCCTATTGCGAGCTCACCTCCTATTCCACCACTGTTTCCCATTTTGATGGGGCTGCGGCCCTATCTTCACAGGATGAATTGTCTCACAAGGCTTGGCATGTGGGGAAGTGCGATTGTCACGTGTTTGGGAGGATAATTTGCTGCGCTCAAAGGGAGATGCCTGTTGCAGGCAACGTGAGTTTGGCCTGGTGTCCAGATGCCTAATCAGGTGGCTGAACACTGGACACATGTGTGACTGTCCTCGTTTCGCGGATTCATAATTGTCGAGAGTTTGAGCTCCACAGGACGGACATCAGCTCTAGGACTGTGAGACCATGGAAGAGGAATGAATGGAAGGAAAGGTGGAAGCAAATGGCGATTGATGGGAGGAGTCGAGAGATGGTGGTGGTAGAGGTCGGATGTTGAAGAGGGGTGGAAAGGGGATGGGCTTGGTTGGAGCAGTGTGCTCATCCAAGCCTCAAGGAATCTTCGCATAATCTCCAAGGTACTCAGGTGCAGTAGTGCATGTGCAAGCCTCGAGGGATCTACGAACGACCTCCATGCTTCTCAGGTGCACTTACATGCCTCCCTCTCGCTTATCAGCCTCCTATTATTCCATCGGGCTTCCTCGTTAATTCCAATTTACAGATGCACGACTGACGTGTCTCTGATTGACATCTCTTTTCCCTTCTCTGTCCCACTGAACGCATTGTGATGGGATCCAACTTCCAAGTGAGTATGTATTTTTTGAAAGTAAAAACAAGAAGCTTTTAGAATTGTTTCCCCCCTTTTTTTCCTCCTGGAAAAACTGAGCATGGACTCGTCTCGTGGGATGAACGCTCGCACGTTTAACGCTCAAGGCTTCCGCTCTGGCTTTGAGGACCGATTGCATGCGTACGCTTTACTTCTCAGCTGTCTCCAGTGTCTCTATGATGTCCTGGATGCAAATTAAAGATTCGTGGCTGCCTGATTGATGGATCTCTGTTGACCGTCCTTCTTCCGGGGGGTACTTAAGACGAAATTAGATACACACTTATGTATGCAGAGGGCCTGTTGCAGCTGCTGATGTTATCAGTCTAATCAGCAGGCAGAACCCGAGAGTGGCTCAATGAGATGCCAAGAACTGTTGATACACCACAATCCCAATCTAGAGGGAGCACTTATCCTGTGGGACTCGACGGTGCTTAAGGAAGTCGCAATAGCAGATCTTGCACAACTGTATCGTGGAGGAAATAAAAATTGGGAATTTATGAGTGATAGCGTAAGCCTTGGAATAGGTGGGCAGAAAGTTCTCTCCCATGAAAAAAAAGGGGGCTGCGTTCATTTCTTCATCCCGTTGAAGCGATGGGGGTACTGTAATAAAACTGGTATCTCTTCCATGAAAATGGTGTGCTGCATTCATTTCTTCATTACGTTAGAAGTGATGGGGTTATACCGAAATAAAACTGGTATCCCTCCCATGGAAAGGGGGCAGCGCTCATTTCTTCATTCCGTTAAAATGTTCGGCGAAGGACGAATTGATAACCGCCACAAACGGGTGGATAGTTTCCTGTTAGGATTCCGTGAGATAGTTTGCTGTTAGGGCTTGGGGGCTTTCGGGTGAGAAAAATGGGCCCCCTGAAACAGGGGCAGCTATGCGAAGGGGGCTCCCATTGGGTGGTTGGACATTCTCTCTGGTATCAAAGAGATCCTTATAACCTGGTAGTGATGCCTTGAGTAGGTAAAGTGGCTAGCGCTTTGCCACCAAGATCTGCAGCACCTGGAGGGGTTGGCTCGAGTAGTTGAAATGGCTATAGTATTGTAGCGAAGATCTTCAGCACCTGGTCTTACAGGTCGAAAAGGGGTTGCCTCGGTCCGTGTTGCTGGTAATAATATTTATTACCGCAACATGGTCCGGGGCAACCCCTTTTTTAATTTAGGAGCAAGCAGCTCAGGCTTTTTGGTCAAGTAGGTGCACATTTCCAGCAGAACCTTTCCTTTGTGCCCACGACAAGCGCTGGAACAGGAAACTTCTCCCCAGAACGAGAAATACTAAAAGCATCGCCACCTCTACTACCGGTAGCTATTACTTTCTCACAGATGCTGCATGGCCCATGCAGAGTTTTGTATGGAAGAGTGATTTAGTTTGGAGATGATCACGCTGCCAATATACAAGGAACCGAGGGAAGAGGTATCCACCGTTCCCTCACCTAAACCGTGCACTCGTGAAATAATATGGTCCTTCCCAGCGGAGCGGGTTGGCGCTTTTCTGACATGGTGGTTTAAATTAGGGGTTGAATAGGATGAGGCTATTGTGAACACCTGCTCACACAGCACGGAAGTCGTAGATGGACTGATGAACGGAAGTCGTAGATGGACTGGTGAACAAATCTTTGGAATCGTGGATAACTAGCTCGGGATGGTGTCTGCATGGCCTGACCGTTGAAGTCGAATGCTTGCTCGTTTCATAACCTTGCACGGTGTTTAGTTCATATCCGCGAGGTGTATGTGGGTCTTGGGATGCCTTTGGACGATTTGTTCGAGTGCACGATAAGATGGTGTGCTTTTGGAGCTAATGGGGTCTTGTTACGTTTGTGTGGTTTATTGCCTTCGTGCTTGACAGGATGGGAGGCTTGCATACGATGATTTTGTGAAGGTGATCAGTGGCCCTGGATGGCGCAGACAGCAGGATCGTGCAAGTCACCGAGAACGGCTGCTGGGGTTGTCATCGAGTCCCGTGGAAAAGGTCCTACAGATCCCGTTGACAGGTCTGCCGTCCAGTGGTATTTCGGCGCTGCCAAGTCCGGCTTCCCAGTGCAAGGAGGCAGCGCCAACGGGTAACGTGGATGACGCCCTCCCGCAGACGCACCTTCGGATCCGGGTACCGCCTCGCACATCCAGGTTGATGCCAGACCATCCTGCCGCACCTGAGGAGGAGCAGGCTCCGCAGTTTCATCTGCGGCCTCTGACAAGCCCGTGGCGTCGTCGTGAGGACGAGGATCAGTGGGATCCTTTCAGGTGCAGCTCAGCAAAGGCAGAGCGAGTTTGCTCGCAGCTCGACGATGATTTTTTGCAAGAGGCGCAGAGATTATCTTGTCCTCCTGCTGCGGCCATCAGATTGCGCACCATGCCGATGAGAAAGCGTGTGCCGGAGGGTGACCAATGGGACCCATTTGGCTGCGCAAGGTCGCCGGCTGGCTCTGGATCACCGTTTGCACTGCGTTGGACTAACTCCCCGAAAAGTGCCAAGTCAGTGGGAGCAAGTGAAAGCTGGAGGGACAGGGAGTTCCCTTGTGCAAAGGATTGGGATGCGGGCACCCCCAGAAAGCGTGAATGGGATGGGACGCCGAGGTGTGGAGAGGGAGCCATAAACATCATGACTCCAAGATATGACACGCCACGGTACTATGTCCCGGCTGTGTATACAGTGAGCTGAGAGCAACGAGCGTACGGAAAATAGACACAGAGACTCAGGTGTGTGGCCTCCTGACAAAAAAGCCATGACATGAGGGGTTTGGGTGTGTCTGAGTGTGTGTGTGTGTGTGTGTGTGTGTGTGTGTGTGTGTGTGAGAGAGAGAGAGAGAGAGAGGTAGGAGAAACAACGGAAAAGATTAGGCACGTGTGAATGTGCAGGGGTGTGTGTGTGTGCGTGTGTGTGTGTGTGTGTGTGTGTGTGTGTGTGTGTGTGAGAGAGAGAGAGAGAGAGAGAGAGAGAGAGAGGGGTTGAAAACCAAGGGCATCAGAAATGGAATGGCTGTGCTAACAGATTCGGAGGCTCAACCCTTTGAAGCAGGCAGTGAGGCTGGGCCCAGGGGATTCTGTGTGAGAAAGACATCAGAATGGGAGAGATTAGGAACGAGTAGCCCAGTGTGTGTGAGTGGCCATCACAACGTTCTGGAGGCTAGGAGTGTGAAACGAATGAAAACAAGGGTCTAATTTGACGACTCTGTTTATTTGGGTCGTTGTCTTTCTCATCTTTTGAGGGCATTGCACTTGCTGCTGTCCTGGGATTCCTAGCGCTTGCTGTAGTTGATCGGCTTCCGTATGGTGCATCGATCCAACGGTGTAGTGGTGATTCTTTTTGGTAGAAGGCAGCCTCTGTGGCAGTTTTGACAGAACTATGTTCGTGTTTAGGTGGAGAGGCGATCCCTTGTCTGGCAGAGGAACAGGAACATTCTGGAGCAGGGTTGCTGCTTTAGTTGTCCTTCATAAGATCCTGTTTAGAGGGCACAGGAAAAGAAGATGGAATGTCGAAGGGGACAGGTCGTTTCGCTGCGGTTGTGTGGCGGTTCTCCTGATGGCTATTGTAGATTTGGGCGGAGGCGCGATTCTTCATTTTGCTTCTCTTTTTGACTGTTCATTTTGTAGTTGTTGTGATAGTGCCTGCTTCATTCAAGGTGCAATGGAAGAAAGCGAAGGGGGAAAAGAAATACTGGCATTTCTGTGGTGAGTGCAGCTGTTTCATGTCGTCCGGAATGTGTGTGCAGAGCTTCCGAATGTTGCATGCCCGTTTGGCGAGCTTGTGGATTGAAGCGAACACCATTCTTGAGGTGAAACTGCAGGCCTGTCTCCACATGTAGGGGGCCTGCACAGCGGCTGCGATTGTTTGTGTTTGTGTGTGTGTGTGTGTGTGTGTGTGTGAGAGAGAGAGAGAGAGAGAGAGAGAGAGAGAGAGAGGTAGGTCATGATTGATTTTGAGCTTTTGAAAGCGCTAAGTTATGTGGTAGGGATGCACAAAGTCGAGTCTGTAGCGGAAGATGGGCTTTAGTGTGCTGGAATGCGCTAAGGAATGTCGAGCAGGTTGCCTGTCCTGCAAGTAGGGTGTTATAGGACAGGGGTACTGTACGCTCTTCCTCGTTCCTTTTTGCGTACATATCTCGATGACATTCGAGCTTGTTTTCGCCTGGGCTCTGCATTGCATGGTGTGGAGAATGATTATCTGGCACCCGGTTGTTCCATGCGGCCTTCCTGAGATAGTCGATTGGCCGAAGAGGTTACCTGTATGTGGTGCACGGAACGCTGAGGTGGTGCTTTTCTTGCAGGGTTGGGATGACTGGAGCCTGTATTTTGCCTCAAGGACTGAGGAGGGGAGTTCTTGAGGAGAGTTGTGCAGAGGGAAGACAGTCGATTGACCGTCCTCTCTGCCCATGTGACTCATGTTTCGTATTTGCAAGGAATCTTGCAGTCGTGTCGCGGGAGTGAAGAGAGATGTGCTGTTAAAATTTCCCATCGACAAGAAGTGAAATGAGCACAAGCTTTGGATTGAACTCCCATCACGGCTTTTGGGTTGGTGAAGGGTTTTTGGTGGCAAGGCCGAAATCCACTGTATGCGCACTTGTGATAGTGAGAGGGAGTCTGCTGGGACACATGTCTATGTGCATAGGTGAGCCCCGCTGCATGTGGATATCCGAACCTTGTACGTGGAGGTGTATTGTCTGCACATGTATGTGTGAGGCACTGCAGATCGGTGGCAGCCCGCCATCGTTGAGCAGCCGTAGACGCTGACGTTTCCGTCCTTTTCAGTGCTGGGAAGATTTGGCGGCGTACTCGGAGTGGCATTGTACTCGTTGTATAGTCCAGGCTATTGTTATTTTTCCATGTTCTGAACTTTTTATCATTAGCTTTAGTGTTTCCTTTCGTCTAAGCTTTTTTGGTAAGCAGACCTTCTGGTAGGCACTTGGCGCCCTTCATTCTATCCCTTTTCTCTTTATTCTGTAGGAGTGCACGCTTGGAAGGGAGAGGTGTCACACTTTTCACACTCGTTTCATTTTCGAATTGGAAGTTTTTTTTTTTTTAACATGTTACATTTTTAGGTGCTGTGTTGATCATAAATTCCGCCTTTCTTCTCCGGAAGGTCTTGGAGCTGTCGTCAATGTCAATTTGTTAATAAGAAGTATTAAGAACTGTAGGCGAGTTTTCAACGATGTCTGAGCAAGACTGCTGTTTTTGATGGACCATTCATCACGATTGTCGCGGATGCGCTGTGATTGATATTTTCCATTTGTTCATAATAAGCATGTTAGTTGCATGACGAAAGATGTGTACGATGAATCATTTTGAAGTGACCCTCCCACCTTCGGTACATTGGTGGGGGCGGTGCGGTGCACATGCAGGTGAAGGGTATATTGTCTCGCGACTCGGTCTGACGCTGAACAACCGCTGGCTTCCCCCAGCAACAACCGTGGAGAATAATTTGCTGTCGTGTCATGTTTCCATCATCATGTGTTAAATTGTCATTCATTTTTGGTGCCGTTCAATGTCCGTTTTCTTTTTCTTTGCATCTGAATTGCGATTGCATGGCCGCCAAGTGGATTGGCTGGCCGCTGGCCAGCAACGTATGCTGTTGCTGGGTTCACTTTTATTGGAGACGGGTGGTTTCGACTAGGGCCTATCTTTGTCTAGGTGCCTACAGGCTAGCTCCACTGCTCAACATTTGACAAGTATCTGAACTTGGCACATAGACTGGATGCATTTTGAATGTCTTGGGCCTCTAACAGGTCCAGATACCATTAGCATTCTGTGTAGTGGAGCCAGGCCTGTCTGAACGGGGGGAATGAGTGTCATCCTGTGTGAGAGAATGCGGTTTCCTTCAGGAGGTTGGGGCGGTCGTGGTCCCGGGAATATGTGTCCCATACGGGGCGAGCAAGTTGTTGCTTAGTGAAGGAAGGAAAAGACCAGAGGGCAGCCATTTAGCATGGGACATGTATTTGTACTGGATATCCTGGAAAATGAGGGGGGGGGGCTGAGTATTGGCACAAACTCGATCCGTGGTTGTTAAGTTGGGGACTTGTGTTGTGTTTAATAATACAATACAATTATATAAAACCTGAGGCTGTCATAGATTGGGGAAGCAGTAATTGAAACTTTAATTAATTCGAGTCTGCTAGACGTTGAATAATTTTATTCATTACATGACTCCTGAGGAGCGATCCGATCTTGGTTATAAAACCTGCATGTACTCTGTGGAGGTCCTATGGGTTGGGATCTATGCTTTGTAATGTTGATTTTTTTACACGAGTTTGATGAACACTTTTTTTTTTTTTTAATTTCGATCATTTCTCGATTTATGCGTGTCATCCTTGCGCAGGGGCCATGCTAATCGTCTCTGTATGGTTCCAATTTTAACGGATGTCCCGAAGGACTAGTTTGATTAACACTGGCTTAACTGTGTTGAATAAATGTTAATTTGAGTGTCAGGTGGGATTAATTCGAGTCTGCGCGATGTTGAATAGTATTTATTCGTTACATGAGCCCCAAGGAGTGATCCGGTCTGTTATAAAGTACGCAATGACGCATGTCCCCTGCGAAGAACTGTGTCAATATTGACAATTTTGAATTTTTACTTCTTGGTTATATTCTTTGATTTTTTTTACGGATGATACTGCTGATTTCAGCGGGTCTGATACCAATACTACTTGCCATTTTTATTTTTAGTTAATTTATTTTTCTGTGTTCTCTTTTTGAAGTCGAAAAGTCTCCAGTATAAAAAACATTGCTATAATATATTAATATTAGAAAAAAAATTCAAAAATTGATAAAAGACAGGAGACTATTCCTCTAAGCGCTGTCCTTGAAATATGAAAACTCACCCGCATAGTAATCACATAGATGAAAACATCAAATCATAATCCTTTGAAATAAAAGGTAAACATAATCTTTCTTATATAAAGTAAAGAACACTAATCTTTCTTATAAAGTAAAGAACACTGTTGGCTAACGTTGATGAAGTAAATCTATTAGATGATCACTTAGTTGTTGTTTTATTGGATGCAGCTGCTTCTGGTTGGAATACTGTAGAGAGAGGAGTATCAATATCTTGTCCTTAAGGTTTTTTATTCTCATTGGATCTGGAAATCCTGAAGAATTATTAAACCACCAGTACCTCAGTTGGTCTAAGGCCCCCTCTGTGTAGTCTCTGAGGCAAATGCATATGGACCTCTACGACGCACCGATTCAGCCACCGCGTTACCGGCCTAAAAACGTGGAGGTACTGGTGGTGTAAGACCTCAGTTAATATATCGTTTTCGTATGGGATATGTGTGGTGTTAATGTTTCCAACCATCCGATGGTATGAACGAAATGATTCTACTATCCAAGAAACAAATCTCCAATTCAGTTTACAGAGATCTATGAATCGTCGCAAGAAAATTTAAGTCGACAAATAAAAAACTTAAAAAAAGATGCAAGAATTCAAGAATTGTACGTGTTCAACAAGCAGGTCGCGTCACGTTTACTCGTTTATATGCGGAAAGTGGTTCACTGCCTGGCAGCTTTAGTGTTTTGTGACAAATCGGGGAATCCTAAACCCAACTTTTATTTCCAAGATCCACAGAGAAACTCTGTGCATAGTTTTGTTGTAGACTACGTGTGATTAGAATCAAGAATGAATAAGCAAATTAGTATGCAATCAATCTTCTTTACAGTTACTATAAAAAATAAAGAAACATGTTACCTCAAAATACGTCTTGTCCAGCGATTTGGCGGAGATGTTCGAATTGCTGCACTTTTTGCCTGGAAGCTCACAGAAGCGTTTTCCCTCGGCGTGGAAAGCCTTGAGTGACTTCGTACAGGCGCCATCTGTCTTTACCCCAGCGCCTTGTTGGGAGCCTGATTTGTGCTTGGATGGCCGCTCAAAATCAGCCTCGTGAAAATCTGGTATTCCTCGAGGAGAAACAGTCGTTAATCAAACTTTGGCATTAGGTGGACGTGACCAAGAGTCCACTGGTTTCGCATTTTTATCATATCATAAAAAGTGTTAGTACACGGCCCCGGCCTTGCAGAATCTTTTTGTCGCCACAAGCCAAACTCGGGGGCGCCGTGCGTGCAGAGGCGCCGTTCAAAACAAATAATGGCGGCCAAGATGTGCGTTTTTGCTTACATGTAGAAAAGAAACTGGAACGGTAATTGAATGAACACCATGGAAATCATGTAGCCTATGAATTGAGAATGCAAAAGGAAAAAAAAAAAACCTTCAATTTTGTTTTCTTATGAATTCTCAATTCATAGGTTACATGATTTCCACGGGGTTCGTTCAATGAGCGTCTAGGTTTCTTTTCTACATAGAGGCAAATATATATAGAGGATGCAAAAAAATGTGCGAAGAGCAGGAGCATAGAGGATGCCAAAAAAGATAAAGGTGGTGATCGTAACTGAAGCTTGCTAGCAACAAAATGTGCACCCAAAAAAAAATCAAGAAGATGCAAAAAAAAAGAGAAGAGAGGGCTGTAAAAAATAAAAAAATGGAAACGCACCAAGAGCCACTTGAGGAAAGGATGGCACTCGGCATAGCCTTTATATTCCAATATGTGAATGTGGGGGTCTAATGAAAACAAATTTAGAAACTTATGTGTGCTTGCTAAATACGCGCATAAAAAGTATCAAACTACCGAATTTCCTACAAAAAGCAAAGAGGCGACAAATATCCGTAGTATACAGCGTACACAGAAAGGAGAATGAAAACAACAACATGCCATAAATTTGCGAAGGTCAGTGGCAACCCTACACCACATGGAAATGAGGGAGTGATAGTTTGCTTTCATTTTTGGCATACGTACCTCGAGGGTAGTGGTTGGTGCCCACCTCAGGGTATCGGTTGTCGGGAAGTCACTGATGCTTAACCACAATCGGGGTTAAGGTGGATTTTCACTTACATTGTAATCAATTAGGGGACTCTACAGACTGTTTGAGGGTTCATCCTTGCGATGAGTCCGTGCAACTCCAACGAAACAGTTTCTCCCAACCCCTCATTTTTCTTCTCCCTCTCTACTTACAGTTTAGCGGGCAATTATGTTTAATGATAGTATATATATATATATACATGTATATAGGTGGTAGAGCATTTCTTTGGTAAGGGAAAGGCCTTCGGTTCAAACCGCAATTCGAGGCTCCGTTTTATAACCTTGCTTAGGCGGTAGAGCATTACCTTGGTAAGGGAAAGGCCTTCGGTTCAAATCCGATCGTAGGCTCTGTCTTAAATTAAAACAAATATATTTATATCTATATATATGTATATATATCGTCACAAACAGAACTGCCCGGAAAACCGTAGGCAGAGAGAGAGAAGAGGACAACAAACGAGGGGTTGTGACAAACTGTTTCGTCGGAGTTTCACCGGCTCATCAGGAGGTTGAACCCTCAACAGTCTGTATATATATGTATGTATATATACACAGCCTCCTGATGAGTCGGTGAAACTCCGACGAAACAGTTTGTCACAGCCCCTCGTTTGTTGTCCTCTTCTCTCTCTCTGCCTACGGTTTACCGGGCAGTTCTGTTTGTGAATATATATATATATATATATATATATACATATGGTAATCGTTGTATTTCGTACGGGCCAAACGCCCAAATTCGAACGCTCGGACGTACGGGATCCCCTGGGGATGTGTTTCGCCGTCTGGGCTGAACGCGGACCAAAAAGAAAAGAAAAAAAACGAGACAATTCAAAAAAAAGTGAAAAATAAATATGTTATGAAGAGAAAAAAAAAAACAAAGCAACATTTTTTTTTTTGTCAAGTCGGGAATTCGGTTCGGCGTCCCATACAAAGTAGGTGGGTCCCTCAATTGGCAAGCCGCACCGGCCAAGCACATGGTGAGCACCCCTAGATTTCACCCCACATCCAACTCCACAGCCCTGACAAATGAAAAAAATCAATGAAAGTTTTCACCAAAATTTAAGTTATCACGAAGAGATGAAATAAATAAGGATTTCATACTGATCTACCGTAATATCTAATTAACAAAGACAGTCGCAACAAATCCAACCTGTACATTCCTTGAATATCTAATTAACGAAAACAATCACAGAAATTTCATATCTATACAAATTTCCTTCTCAATCGCAACAATTTCGACCTATACATGCTTGAATACCTAATTAACAAAAAAACATCAATAAAAAATCAACAAAAAAACAACTACTGAAGAAAACAAATATAAACCATAGAAAGGGAACCAGTCGTCAGCGTTAGGCGATCATGTCCACTATTCATCCAGAGCTGGGTAGCACGCCGTACGCATATGCAGTGCGTACGTGTACGTATTCCAACGTACGCGTACGAACCCAAAATCGCACGCACGAGGACGTAACAAAAAAATCTGAAAAAATGTATGTCGTGCAGAATAATGACACAAACAACTTTTGCCTGGGAGTCATACCCGAATTCCCAACCAATATTTTTAAAAAATAAAAAACCTTAAACCACCACTACCTTCGACCGTGTTTTTGTTGAGCCTGACTTTCACTGCGCACCGAGTTTTGTCAAGCCGGGGCACTTCGATCCAAGAAGGAACAAGAGGAAGAAAAAGAAGGAAAAAAAAAAAAGAAACTTCCTGAAAGCCTCGATAACCTCCCGATAAATTCTGTGAGGTGCTCGTGTGACTGTGCCCTCAGTGAGGGCGTGTAACTGAMAAAAAAAAAAAAAAAAAAAAAAAAAAAACCTCCCTTGTACTGTGATTCAGGACGTACACAGGATGCTACAACTCTGAGACAGTTACGAGCCACCCAGTGAAATTTGCCCTGCCT